GATATCTCGAAAACAAAGGCGCGAGGAGATAAATCCTCTTGAGGTTTTTCATACCTCATTGAGGTCTACCTATCGCCAAAAGATGGGACCTAAAGGGCTTAAACACCTAAATATGTTCCCTCGTTAGTGACGCAGCACTGAATATAATATACGTACAGTTACATCCGATTTATCTTTCAATTTAAGTAAATTTGATAATAACTTTTTATAAACTTTTTATAGGGAATCCAAGACGTCCATACTGGATAGACCTTTGACTTCAACTTCTACCAAACATCATTCTCATACTGAGTTTTAATGCTCAATCTGAAAAAATACTTTTGAAAAGTCAGAAGAACGAAAAAGAACAACCTTGAACTTTTTTGAAATCAACTGTTTCTTGTTGATTCATCTAACATAGTTTACCGTTCGAGTTTTTTCAATTTTACTTTGTTAAAATAATTTTTTAAAACATTAACTACTTTTTCTTTCTCAGTTCGATGTGCTCAATCCAACCAACCATGTTCAAATAAATAAATAAAAAATTTTGCTATGATATTGAATTTCCGGTATCTTACATCCTCATACACATTAATTCAAACTTTGAATTAATGTGTAAAACTAAGAGTTGTCCAAGAAAACGGGTAGCATATTCGGAATCCTCGTGAAATTACGAATCGGAATATGTATTTTGTGTTTCTTATTTTCAGCTCGATGGAAAATCGAACGTTTTACCATGAAACAATTTAAAAAAATACACCCATTAGATAGTAGATGTATAGATTCGTTAGTAAACTTAGAGATAGTATAAAATAAGCTCTAATCTTCATACAGTATTTAATGCACAAGTGCCTTGTGTTAGTGATATGTTCAGATAACGTTAGATTGTTCATCAAAATGAATGAAAATGTTATTTGAACAATTCTTCGACATTGATCGTTAGTTGATCAGGCATAGTCATGCAAATGTGACATTATAAAAACGAAAGATAAAACGCATTTCTCAATGTAGGTGTTAAAATGAAATTGAAATTGCCAATTTCTCGTTTCGATAAGCTAAAACTTCGATAGCGCAACTTGTTAAAAAATTGTATTGAATTTTTGATTTCTTTAGTGGTATTCGTCTTATCAAATTGAGATTAATATAAATGGGATAATCAGAGCAGCTACTTTTTTACATGTCCGTATTTTCGTTTTCCCTCAGTTAGCTTAACAAATTTTTGGGTGGTTCCTTGACAAGAGTTGTAGAGATGTTTTGTGAAACTCCTCACTATCTTCGAAGAAGAGAGAGTAACAGTTTTATACCCCAAAACCGCTGGCTTTTAGGTTAAATTTGACATCCTCCCCCTCTCCCTGGAGGACACAACCTCTTAAAGTGGTAGTCACAACCTCTCAAAAGGTACACACAACCTCTTAACGCAACTAGACGTCTCAGTATTGGGAGTTCCATCTTTTAGCACCTTCAAGTGCTACCCTGCCAAGGCTTTTTTGTCGATTGGTCGGTTTCGTTTGTCTAAATTCCATTTCCTTCAGAATCAGGAGCATACCCGCGGTTGACTGGTCTCGACTGATCTAATTCCCCGCATGTGGAGAACTAGAACACTCCGTGGAAAATACACGGGATTTTTAATAAAAGTAATTTGAATTTTATATTTGTATTTTAAATTATTTTTTCATACATCCTTAGTATAGTATGTAGAGGATACCCAGCTCTATCGCCCGACATGGGTTAGATCGCAAACGAACAATATTTGGCGGACATAACTCTATTCCAAAAGCGACTGGTAAAATTTTTTGGTGTTCAAATCCGCCACATGCGGGGAATTAGAACAGTTGAGACCAGTCGACCGCAGGTATGCTCCTGATTCTGAAGGAAATGGAATTTAGAAAAACGAAAACGACCAATCGACAGAAAAAATATTTCCTCTACAACTCTTGCTCAGGAACCACCCAAAAATTTGTTAAGCTAACTGAGGAAGAACGAAAATACGGAGATTTTTCAGAATTACTTTAAAATGACAAAAATAAAATATCATAAAATATAACTTTAGTCATATATCAAATGGAGTCGACTGAGGCGAAGAATATATGCGTTTTCTTATCGAAGTACGCTCTAAAAAAATTCTAGCTTACAGAGCGAGTTTTGACATTTGCTCCTAATAGAAACCGATATGCGTATCGTACAGTCCTACTTAACCGTTTCGTAGAATACGCCTGAACGTTTTTTTCTCTGATACGAAATCCATTTCTTTACACGGTAAAAAACGTTCAAGAGTATTCTGCGAAATGGTTAAGCAATACTGTACGATATGGATATCGGTTTCTATTAGGGGCAAATGCCAAAACCTATGATTTTTTTTAGAGAGGGTAGAGTATCTCCAATATTTTCAAAGACTGTTTGATCATGTTCTTAGAATGTCGTTATTAGTATTATTATCTACATGTATGACTGAAGTTGAGAAAAAAATGTTTGACTTTCTGCCTATTAAAAGAATTTTTGTTTAATGAGTGTCTTGTCATTCAAACGTCATTGAAAAAAATAAACATGATTTCTTACAGAAGCGATACATGAATCCATTTAAAAAAAAGAAGTAAACTAGTTTTCATTTTTTTTCTCTTAATAAAACTATTTTAACAGATTTGGCAACAAATATTGGTTTCACGGAAAGCAAATAAATCCGTTTAAACGGACTTCTCTCCAAATGTGAAAGGAAAAACAAATACTTTTTTCCTTTTTTTTACGTTCTACAAAATGACGTTAACAAAAAAAGTTCCCACATAGACTTTCAATGCGAACAGTATTTTTTGACTTCGACATTTTTATTTCTAAGTCCTCCTTAGTCACTGAACAGAGATCTTTAGTCCGATTCGATTTTAGGATCGGATCGAGCTCAGATTGAGCTATTGTCATTTCGAGATTGAGTTACATTTTCTTAACAGGTCTCTACACACAGGGGCTTGAAGAAAAGAAGATTCAGATCCATATCATAACAAGAATGACAGTGGCGAATTTGAGATTCTACCAACTGAACCAAGGTCCTTGTACGAGAAAAAAAGAAATATAATGAGAATTGATAACAATGGGTTTATCTTAGCTTAATAATAAAAACAAATTGGCTTATTTTTTGTATAGAAAGAATTCCTGTTTACATGAGAAATTTAAAACAAGAACTTTTTTTAAGAGTAAAAAATTTTGCAGTTAAAGTCATTCTACTTTTTTCATAGATTATGTTGTTATTGGTGAAGAAATCGACTGTTCTGAGCACAACTGTCTTTTCCGAATTTTATGAAAATATTTTGTTAGCCGTGTATATTTAATGTGAATTTCTCTTTTAGACATGTGATCAATGACGTCTAACGTAGTGCGAGAAGCCCAGGTGTTTAAAATATGATGTTTACATTTTGAGAAACTAAGAGATGAAAATATACATCTGACCTCACCTTAACACGTTTCTTATCAGAAAAAGTGAAATATTTTGACTGATCAGAAAATATACCCTTCTTTTTTCATAAGCTTATTTATGGAGAAGTGCGATGACTCAATGGAAGATTATTATTATGATTAATCTTAATTAAAGAGCTTGCATACTTCTAGTATGTTATTTGAAAGTAGAATACGTAATTTAAATAAAAATGACCAAGCACCAACGAAAAATAGTTTCATGCAATAGCCATTGGAGAATTTTATTTAACATCTTCTGATACTATCTTTTTCGAAAGAATTTGTTTTTCTACCGTATTTCTCATCATTTCACGTGTTTTAATTACACAAATCTATTGCCTCATATGATAACTCACTTTCTTTCTCTATTTATCTATGAAATATGAAACAGAAATTGTCATAATTTTACAAAACTTCTTCGTGTTTTACTTTACCTTTTAAACTTTACGCGAAGTCAGCATGCAGTTTACTCTTGTAGTTGCCATTATTTCATTACTATATACTGTAAATAATGGTTTGGATATTGATACGTGGGCAAGTGAAATTGAAAAATTGAGTATGGATGAAAAATTTGTTGAAGAATATTATAAATGGTCATTTGGTTTGTTTTCACAGCCGGACTATTTGTACGGGGCAAAAACAAATTTTCCGTGTAACATATCACTCTCTAATATTACAGCAACAACAGTTCATCAACTTCGTCCATCGGATGTAAAATGTATTGGTGCAATGGGTGATTCTCTCACTGCTGCCTTAGGTGCTCATGCAATAGCCGTAAGTGGTTTATTAATAGAAAATCGTGGTCTATCATGGTCAGTGGGTGGCGATCATACTATTGAGAAAGTCCTAACATTGCCCAATATAATCAAAAATTATAATCCAAATTTAGAGGGATATTCAACAAAATTTTCGATCATAGTTGGTAAAGGACAGAATAGTTCGAATAATGGATTTAACGTGGCTAAATCTGGTGATCGTTCCGAACACATGCCATATCAAGCGCAATTACTCATTGAACGTATGAGAACAGACCAAAAGTGTAATTTTGAAAGTGATTGGAAAGTAGTTACATTTTTTATTGGTGGGAATGATTTGTGTGAGTTTTGCAAGAATATCACGCATGACCATTCACCAGAACAATATATGGACTATGTTCGTGAGACCCTCGATATTTTGCATTCAACAATGACTCGGACGTTTGTCAATTTAGTTTTGGTATTAGACGTTCGGTAAGTTGTGAAGTAGATAGGAATCTCTATTATAAATAAGTTTTCATAAATTCGATTTAGTGGAGTCAAAGAGTTAAATTCTGGTGGATTTGTTTGTCAAACATTGCATAAAAAAACTTGCCCATGTGCTGCCTTTCCTACACCTGAACAAGCAAAAATTTTAGATGATTACATACCTCGATATCATGACGTATTAACGGCTTTAGTTAATAGCGGACGTTATGAACGTGATGATTTCACCGTTGTTATACAACCATTTTTATCCGACACAAAATTACCACGTCTAGATAAACCTGGTCATCCAATTGATTTTAGCTATTTTGCACCTGACTGCTTCCATTTTAGTGGTATGTAAAAGTTATCATTAATATAAGAGACTGCTGTTTTCAGTCTATCTCTGTTATTATAATTTAGGAAAAGGTCATTCAGTAGCGGCACTGTCTCTATGGAATAATATGTTAGAACCTGTTGGACAAAAGCAAACATTTTGGCATATTGGTGAAGCATTAGAATGTCCAACAGACGAGCGACCTTATTTTTTTACGTCTAATAATAGTGTTGGTGTCGGACCTAAACCGAAAAAGACATCAGTACCACCTGTTGTTGCATCAACGATCTTTTCCCGACGAACAACAAATGGCAGATCAACACCAAATGATAGATCAACAGAAAATCAACAATCATTCACGGTATCACCTAGTAAAATTCAATCGCATCACGGACATCGTAAACCTACTGATGACAACGAGGACTCTTCATCATTTTTTTATAAAAGAAAGTTGACATTTGTCGCTGGAATTGGTCTTGTTGCAATGTTTATCCTGATTCTTGCCTATGCAATTCGAAGACGAGAAAATATTAATTTATTTGTCAATCGACGACATGTTGGTATGACAAGACCATCGAAATTTGATGACGATGATGAGGTCGATATTTGGTCACGACCACCATCATCCGACAAAACTGTTCCAATGATACATGCGCGATTTTCATAGTTTAAGCGTACAATTTCGTTTGTAATAAATAATTGTAAACTTTGAATCACATAAGAATGACAAAAAGATGCCTAAAAGGCATTTAAAGCAAATCGACAAGCACTTTACTAGAAATTCAACATGTTTTTCTATAGTAATAGATAGTGCTAAATATCATTACTGTAGGAATTAAAATAAAACAGAAAAATATTTTTCCATCTGTCCGTGTTTTGCTTAATTGAATCTTATAAACTGAATATTAACTTTGATAAATATGCATTGACAGTCACAGAGAGGAAGAAAAGAAGGAAGAGAAGCGCACGTTGTCATTTTATCTGTTCATTTGATGCCACGATCGAAGAACAGATGGATTATTACCATATTTCATTAACGTACAGAGTATAAAACGTATATCAAGTCCACTTTAAGAGAGTGAGAGTTAATTTAAATGACATATGGGTACATATAAATTCCTTTGGTCAGCTTTTATCTATAATTCAAGAGATAGTCATTGATTTTATTCCTAGAGTTAGTTTCTGGCACTCGCTTTTTCAAACGTTTGAAACTGTTATTTGAAGAGAAATGAAACTGTGTCCAATATTTGCTTCAACAAAAATGTACATTAAAACGTTAAAAAAATCTTTTTTGTTAAAAAAAAAAACATCGTTTAAATTTTTTTAAAAGTTCAAACAAATTGTATTTGTTCTCTGTGTTTTCTTCCTAAATTTGTTCAACTGAAGAAAGACAGAGTAGTGCATGATATGAAGCATAATCATGGTATATCAGAAAAGAGAGAAAAAGAATAGCACGACAGTTCGCTTTCTGTTTTTTAATGATCGTATCACTATCATCATCAGCTGGACTAATTTTTTGAAAGAATTAAAATGAAATGAACTAAAAAATAAACACACACGCACACACCAAACAAACCGTCGATTAATTGAGTCTACAATAAGTGACAGATGAAAGAGTTGTGTGTTAGACAATTTGAACAGACGTGTGAAACCACTGATCACAGGCCTATATGCAACGAATAATCCGTAACATCTCTTCAATTCTAAACGAGAATTTTATCACTTCTAAAAGTTACTCGCTGTTACTCTCTAAAAGCAAACGTATTTTAAAAAAGCAGAAAATGATTTTTATTTATTTTGAAATTCTTTCTGCGTTTCTGTTTCACATTTGAGATCGTACTGTTTTACCAGACACGTTTTCAAACGTTTCAAATTTAAATATAAAAATCGAAAAACACAATTTATTAACTTAGAAAATTAACTGATTTCCTATTTTTTTAAACGAAGCTAAAATGAATTTAGAAAGTTAACATGAATCAGGCCTCGACAGTAGAACTTCTTCGTCAGAGTCTCACGGTGACAATAATTTTTTTAATATTTTTTTGCAAAATTGGCTCATTTTGGAAGTGAAAGGTCCCTTTCATTGCTGATAGATCACCGATAAGCTGAACATCTTTCTCCTTGCTGCCGATGTAGCTAAGTATTCTCTAAGATACACTAGGAATTTTGCATCTAGTAAAAAGACCAGCTGAACATCTGTAGAAATCACGAAGTAATCCCTATATTAATTCCCCTGTCACTCTTCTCAAAAGATTTCAGTATATCGTTCGAAGTAAAAAGAAAGGATTTCTCTGAGTAAGTTAAGTTAAAATGACAATAAAGTTAGGCTTTTATGACGTCAAATCTTTGGAAATGACTTTTATCTGAGAGTTAGTAATTATTTTTATCTCACAATTTGAACCATCCAGAGCCTTAAAACGTAGAGTAAAGGACAGAGATTCATTCCTATGGATAAATTCGAATGTACAAACTGTTTCAAACTTGAATAACTCTATAAAATACATGTTCAAAAAAGAGTTTCTGAAAAAGCGTCGAAAAGTAATCGTCAGTCTTCAGTAATTACGTCTATAACGTAAATCTTAAATGGATAGTTATTCTATAGTTAGTTAGTTATATTATTTATTTAATTATTTTTTATGTATGCCTTAAGAATTTTGAAGAGAGGGAGAGAGAGAGAGAGATTTGTGCGAGGAGGACACAGAATCGCAATTGTGAAAAAATGATAGGGAAGCAAAGTGAAAAACCGAAGTAAATTGGCAATGATTTAAGGTTAGAGGATTGTTCTTTTAACTGTGGTCTTGATTTTTATTCATTCCATTTCTTTGAAGATGTAACTGTTTTCTCTACCTTCTTTTTTCTCACAAGTTCGTACAGTTCATAGCCACATAGTATCTTTAAAACTAAAGATTTTGTTGTCTTGGACTTCAGGCCTAAACAGTGTCATCTACAAAGTCCTTGAGTGGTATATTAAGATATTAAGCAACGTTAAATTTAAGTCAAAGCTAAAGAAAAAAAAATACAAGGAAGGAGTTAGTTCTAAGGTGGCATAGACAGAAACGTTTCTGAAGTTTTGAATTGATTTCTTATGCTTTACTTGCAGTTGTTTATGTTAGATTGAGTACTTGTTGTTGTATTTCTCTGATTTATACTAGAGTGTTGTACTATGTTCGAATTAGTGCCGCTGGGATATTAAAGTTTAGTTTGACTATTGATTCATATTCATTATTTTTAATCTTAATCCTGCTTTAAGTAGTCGAAGATTAAATCAGATGTGTATAAAGAGATAGACCGATTGGACTTAAGGATACAATCTGAGTTGCTTAAACAGATTGGTTAAGTTTTTTTTCTTGGTAAAGTGGGGAGGGGGGCGCTGTAGAAAAACGAGTAAAGATTCATGAATCCAAAAAGTGTCTACTTTTCTGCCATATATACCTTTGAGGGTATACCCATTCTAACCACACCGGAATCAAGTTTCATTGCTGTATTTTGACGAGAAAAAATATTGTCTGGGTTTTTCGCACACTCCTTAGCGTTTTTTTGTGTTATGCAAAGTTATAAATTACTTTGTATATAATTCAAATGGTTATATTGTTTTTGTATTATTTAAATACGCTTTTTTGCTAGAAGATATATTTATCTAGTATTAAACAGAAGACTAATTATAATAATTCCAATGATACTCTGTAAATGGACTAAATATATAATATAGATGAAATCTATTGGTGGAAAGAGAAAAACAGCAAAATTCTCCTTTTTGTCTAATACCAATAAAAGAGTGTGAGTAGATAAACCACGATTAGATCTACCTTACGTTTAATCGCTTAGAGCGCGAAAAGTCGATTCGGCAGCGCGATATGGAACTGATCTTTTGTAGAGAGACACGTTTTGATCTGATGCTTTTACTTTTAGTAATGGTGTCATTTATTGAAATTCAACACAAACAACGGATAGAATTGGAATAGAGAGAAGTGATAATTCTCGATTGCTGCTCAATTTAATTTATACGGAACTAATAGAATATGACTGATTGATTGATTTGATATAGTTTACGTTTTTTTGTTTTTTCATGTAGCACGATCATTTTTAAGCACGATCTTCTTCTAAAATGCTGTTTTCGTCGGCATCGTCTATAAAATATTCATCATCAAATAACATCAAAATTCTTGTTGTCCAATCGGAGAGTAAACCGCTAGAGTAATGAATGTATAATAAAGAAAAGAAGAAAGAAGAAATGAATCAGAGACGAGTCATGATCAGTGAAATATTTGCACATGAAGCTTATATGTTTAAGACTATTGAACGCGCAAAAATAATGAACTAACCGTAGTTACAAAGTAATCTTGAGTCACATCCTTTGTTTTGTTTAACAAGAGTTTCTAATCATTAATTTCCAATTCTGATGCCATTAAATATTCGAGATCATCTTATTTGGTTTTTCTTATTCTCTCTCTCTTCATTTATTATAGGCATTGCAATGTAAATAAAAAAGAATTTCTTGTTTGAGAAACGCACACACATCGACACGCGTTAAAACAATTATTCTTTCTCTCTGTTCATTCTTATTTCTATGAATTAATAAATATTTCTTTAAATTATACTTTTTCTATTCTCTTCTTTTTTTCCAAATGTAATAGTACTACTATTTATTATTATTACTATTCTCTCTCTCTCTCTCTTTGTCTGTCTATCTCTCTCCCCGGTGCAAGTTGTCAATGGTGAAAAGTCGTTTTCCCCTTTATTTGCATTAAAAGCTCTTGCTACAAGTGAAATAAACGCGATATATTGAACAAAAAAATTGAATTGATATGTGGTGTTTGTTGCGCGTATTTCAGATTTCTTTCTTTTTTTCTCTCTCCCTCATTCTTGTTCTCTCTGTCTAAAAAATCCATATATGTGAGAACGCACTAAATATTATTTTATTTTTCTTTCTCTCTCTTGTTCCAATGCACAAGTGTACTTCGTTTTCTGATACGCGTTCTGGTTTTTCCTATGTGTTTTCCTTGTTCACTCTCTTTCTCTCTCCAGGTCTCGATATAAATATATATATATATGTAGTTTTTCTTAATTTCTTTTATTTTCCCCCTGTTCGTTCGATCACGATCACATCACATATTATTTACTATTTAAACCGAAATACAAATGATGCCATCAAGTAATTACATTGCTACCGGTAGTACGCCGAATTCTGCTATTGCTGCTCAATTTAACCAATTTCAACAAACACCACAACATTTTACACCGATACAAACAACTAGTTACGCCTTAGCGCCTAGTTATCCATTGTCCCTACCACCATCGAATCCTACATCATTAATAACCTATCGAAAACAATACCTTCAACAACAGCCACCATCCACATCTCATTATATCTCGTCTATTTCTCCAACACCATCGCCCACTCTTAATCATACAATATCTTCCAATTATATCTCATCATCTTCTTCACCATCATCATCAACGGAGATGAGAGATCACGATGCTGTAAAACTATTTGTTGGACAAATACCAAGACATTTAGAAGAAATTGATTTAAGGCCCGTATTTGAAGAATTTGGTCAAATTTATGAACTAACTGTACTCAAAGATCGCTTTACAGGAATGCATAGAGGTTCGTATTTCTTTTCAATATAACTGTAATCATCTCTCTCGTCCTCTAGAGACAAAAAAGCTTTGACTTGACTTTTTTTGCAGACAAATTTTTAAAAGGCAATTTTTGCAAATTATTCATAAGCACTGTCGACTAACTGTTAGCCAATGTCTATGCAGATGTTCTGCAACTTGCAGGGATAGAAACAGATCTTTGACACGCACATTGGCCGCCGTAGTCACGCTGACTCGCTGACTACGAAGGTCAGCGAAAGGACTGCGGAAATTTCTAATATCATACCTAGCACTTATTCATTATTTCGATTGAAATAAGGGTGAAATTTTGAACGTTTTCCATCTTAAACGATGTTGAACTTCTCATTTTTTTTTACGATTTAACTCTTATTTTTCTTCAAATTCGTCTGCCAGACAAATCTTTACGAACATGAGTTAAATGAATCAAATTACGTTTCCTCCCTACAAGAAAATTCTAAAAATGAATCAAATTTGAGAGAAAATACAGTGGCCGACTTTATCATACTCGGAGAATAATTATATCAACAAAATTCTGCTACGCTTCTGCGTCAGCAACGGTCAAAAGAATATATTATCAAAAAAAAGAATTCATTTTTCTCATTAGTGTATAAACTTTGGCAGCGAATGAGAAACAGGAAATTGATCATTAATTATTAGAAATATTAATATTATTCGAAGAGACAATTAATAGATTGTGAGTACCTGAGCATGATCACACAAGATATTGTCGATTGAACTTAAAATAGGACAACGTTTGTGAGGATTTATGTACTGAATAGTATATTTCAAAGTTTAACATATATCAGAAATATGTGCAGTTAATGAGAGAGAGGAAAAGAGTCATAGACGTTTTATATCTTTATCGCAATTGAGCAAAATGGTTGATTTTTGCGCCCTTATCTATAAAAATTTCAACGACTTTAATCTACTTGTCGTAAAATTTAGTGTTTGCAAGGAAAACTGAAAGATCTTAGAAAGTAGGATGTGGAGGTGCTCCCATACACTTTTTACTCTCCCGATCCGTTAGATGGATCAAGGTCCGTCGACATATTTATAATCTGTATCAAACTCTAATGTTTTGTTCCGCGAACAAGTTAATTCATTTCATTTTTCAGTGTTATCGAAATTGTCAAAGCACAAACTCATCTGCCGTACTCATCAATGGTTGCGACATTGCAAGAAATATCTCATACTTTTTTTTACTGTACGAATCAGCTTCTTTTAATATAATTTCGATGAAAAAAAGACTAGTGCTGTCATCTATGGGCATCATATATTTTAACCATATTTTCAGTATTCTAGCATAATTGTAAAGTTTGACTACTTCATCATGAAGTAGTCAAACGTTAGAATTAATAGAATAATATTAAATGAGTATGTGCACATATTCTGATCAGAGACGTTTTTTCCGGAGAGAGGGAGTGATACCCTTGTAATACTTGGAACTTTTTGTTTTTTGCAATTGTGTGATTTTGCAAAAAAAATGAAAGTACATCTCACAATCTTTGGATCCTCGCAGTAGCTCAGGTTCCAGTGATTTAATTGTCACTATAAGTACTACTACAAATAGCAATATATCTATTAGAATGAGGTGAGATAAGGTCGATTAGTTATATTTCCTTTTGTGAATTTAGAACATTGAAATAATTGACATAGAAGCTGTAGAATACTCATCTAAATTAGTATATATCGATGAATTATATTGTGGAAAAAGATATTAAGATAAACAGCGGTATTTCCCGAGGGTGGCTGAGAATGAACTAGATGGACAATAGTCTTATGCAATCTATAATAACCTGTCTATTTTATTTGTATTTTCCGACAAGATTAAATAGTTACACTTTCCCTCTATAGACGTTAGTTAGTGAGGATTTTAGCTTAACATATGATAATTTTCTCATGGTTCAAGAAATGATCTTTGTCAATGTATGTCTATTATTCTATGTCCATAGAGCGAAATTTTCTCATAAATAAATTAAGTTTTTGAAGTACACCGCATTATCATCTCACTTTACATGCGAACAGTATATTTATGCGTATTCATAACTAAACTACATCCGAAAATAGTCAACATTGTTATTTCATTCATATTTAATAATCCGCAACTTTCTTTTCATGTAAAATTTTTAAAAAGTTGTTTTTGATTGATTGATTGACCTTGAATATACACACAACGAGTGTGTATGTGTCATAAAAAGAAGAACATCTGTACAACGGATAGAAAAAAAACAAAAATGGAAACATACAACATAAAAGAGAATTGTCAAACATGTTCAATACTGTCACGAAAACAGCCATCGAATTTCGTTTATTTTTGTGGCATAGTACATATATGAAGGTGACTATATATATATATATATAGAACAGAGAGCGAAAAAAAAGAAAGAATCAACGTTATGCCATGTTCATACACAGGCTCATTTATTCGAAAGTATATTCTATGGCAGATGGTCAAACACACACACAAGTTCGAATAAAAACGAAACAAAAGAGAAGGAACTTTTTAATTGATCTCGTGCCGAGCAGTTTTTCTCTCTCTACTTTTCTTCTTATAGTCCATATAAATACAGTTGACGAAACTAACTTTTTCTTTCTACTATATCATCATTTCTAACTTCGGAAGAGAAAACTTAACGATTAAAATAAAATAAACGTATACACAAGTTGAAATTGATTTAACATGCTTTTACCGATCATGGATACGTTAGGTAAGTTAATCTAAGATATACGTGTTAGTTTTCTCAGTTGTAGAGGGTATTTCTTGTTCACACTTTTCTTCTCAAAAACAAAATAAAAATTTGACGTGATAATATATGTTCTGATGAGAGAGCATTAGAATTACTTACAATAAGTCCAGAAATTACTCATTCATTTTCATTTTTCATTTTTTTTCTCGAGCGTGATAACAAAAAATATCAAAAAAGTATTTTTGAACATCATAATGAAAACTTCATTAAGATTATTAAGAACAGATCTCTAGAACACACAAATCCTAGAAAATTAAGTCTTTAGATTTCGATTGAAAGAGAACTTTTGTAAGCAACTGAGTCAGTTCGAACGAACATTTCTGCATAAAATAGAACCCCTTGATTATTCTAGAATTTGTATATTCTAGAGATCTATTTTTAATAATTATAATGGAGCTTTCATGCTCACCATATGTGATTAGAAATACTGTGCGATGTTCAGAAATCCTTTTTTGATGTCTTTATTTTTCTTCTGTTATCACGCTAGAGAAAAAATAATAAAAATAAATAATTGTTTGACTCACTACATATATACATATTGTGAATATTTTTGAGAGTATACGTTTTCATGAAGTGCATGTTTAAACTAGTACTATAGAAAATATTTGATTCTTAATTATAATACCTATTATAATATCAATTCTACTATATTCTATATTCATTCACTCGACTATGAGTAATTCTAAATAACAAATGACACACTTGTGCATCTGTACGGAAGGATATACGATCTAGTGGAGCTGATAACATGTGTATGATAGTAATACGAGATGGACAGATGGCAAGAAATAGAGTAGAATAATAATTATAATAGCTTATGGTAAGCTAAAATAAAAAAAAAGAAAAGAAAATATATTTCATATTAAATTGATTTATACATTTCCGTTTTAAACAAGATTGTTACATTTGTTTTGAATTATGTTTCACAAAATCTTTTTAGAATATTCTCAAATTCATCATATACTTTTTTTTAACTTTTCTAATACCTTCTGACCGTAGTATATCATCTCTTTAATGAAACGAACATTTTTCGTCTTTATTTAATGTTACAAGAGATAAAAAATAATTTCCATAATATCAATCACACTTTGTACTTGATTAGCAGAGCCTATATTTTATTTTTATTTTGTTTTAGGTTGTGCGTTTCTTACCTATTGTCATCGTGAGAGTGCTCAAAAGGCTCAACAAGCATTGCATGAAAGACGAACGTTACCAGGGGTAAGAAAACATTTTTTACTAATTTTACAATAAAAATAGAATATAGATGGCGCGCATACTGAAAAATACCGTTTTTATTTGTAAATAAATTTTTATTTATTTTAACTAGGAATTATAAATTTATCGTTTTTTAAATGAAAATTAAAAGTAGAATAAATTTATAAATTAATTTGATTAATAACGAGAATATTTAGTTTTCATATATGATTTGAATGTATGTACTTACATAATTTTTATGACAATAGAGTTCACATTTGAAATGTTGTCAACAGTATTCGCCTCAGATATTTTCAAGATAGAATTGAAAAGAATTTATTTTAACAACAAATTTTTATTTATTCAATTTTGTGTTTAGAGGAGAAAAATATAGAATAGATTTTGAACAAATGAATCAATTTCTAAAAAATCTATTGTATTTTGAAAAGTTTCAAGAGTTACTTTTCTCAATTTGTTGTGAAACTGACAAAGTTAATAGAATAGTGAATTAATAGTTAATTTTCGATTAAAATAATAATCATCTACTTATACTCAATCGTTAATGAATAGGAGATTGGAAAAGTTGAATTTAAAATTATTTTCTATGAGTTAAATCCGGAAGAAAAGCGGATCAGTATTTTGAGATTTTTAGCATTTTGGTTAACAGTTAAGTAATAATTGTCAATTTTCAAATAATTATTTGTATCAGCCGATGAATTCTTGACGATAGTCTTTTCTCCATTAAAATCTAGATCAATTATGAGAGAAATATGGCAATTTTGATGATTAATTCTCTCCTCCTCTCGAATTTTCTTTACTCTATTTACATCTAAGAAGTTTTCTATAATACAAAAAAGCAATTTTATAGTCTAAATACAACTCTGTTTCAAACTAAAAATATATTACAAAGAAAAAGAAAAAGGAATTGATCGCAAGTAATGATTAATATAAATTGACTAGCTAGGCTGTCCATAAATAAAATAGATTGATTTAAAAAAGAAGTGAATCTGGATGAATGTGAACATTAAGCAAATAAGTAATGAAAAATATGAGAAAAATAAAAGAAGA